CTTTTCCGTTGATCTACAATTAAACTGACACTATCTTCTTGATTTACAACCAAACTACCACTTTTCCCTTCATCTACAATCAAACTGACACTATCTTCTTGATCTACAACCAAACTACCACTTTTCCCTTCATCTACAATCAAACTGACACTATCTTCTTGATCAACAACCAAACTACCACTTTTCCTTTCATATACAATCAAACTGACACTATCTTCTTGATATCAACAACCAAACTACCACTTTTCCCTTCATCTACAATCAAACTGACACTATCTTCATCTACAATCAAACTACCACTATCCCCTTCATCTATCAAACTGACACTATCTTCCTGATCTATAATCTCAATTGCAATATCTTCTTCTACATTTTCTTTTCCTCTACTTAATCTTGCTATTTTCTTTTCTTTTCTCATGTTTTGTTTCTTCTTCCTTTTGCTCATTTGTTCTGCCATACTGCTTCCATACTTCTCCTTAGATTGTTTCACTAAAGCCTCATAATTGCAAGCAATTTCCGTGATATATGCTACTGCTTCTTTCACTTTCGCATTGTGTCTATGTCAATAACGATCTCTTATATTAAAATGCTATTTATAAGTAATGATATCTGGTTTAGCCTAAAATATCCTTAAAGATATTATTTTGCAGTGTGTATTAAAGGGATAATTTTTTGTCAAGAGAACAGTTTCGTTAACATTTGTATAGTTGTATTGGCAAAAAAAAATTGCATGCAAGAAGACATATTTTAAAAAAACATGCATAAACAGCTGACAACCTGGAAAAAAATGCAAACTTAAAAAAATTAACCCCTCCCCCCCCGATCACTTTTCTAATGGTCCGTTCCTTACTGTAGTAAATATAAAAATAATTGTATATAGCTATGCATATTATACAATACTATAAATAAATATTCAAGTTGTACCACACGCACGGAGGAGTCTATATGACTTTGCCCACATCGAAATATCGGATAACATAATTCTTGATCATGGAGTCTTAGCGATGCCAAACAGTCGGGAGAGCATGTTTAGAATTTACACACAGTTGGCAAGATCACAGGATCTCGTTAGTTTATAGCAATTCCACGTTTCTGCATAAAGTAAATCCGTTGTGTTTACGTATCAGACAGGATACACTTTCACACTAACAACAGTCACAATCACATCGTTTGCTCGGTAGGTCGGTCTAAAAGATTTTTACACTTATAGAATGTGTTTTTATAGCGAAGCGTGCTTTCCTTGCCAAAAGCCTTGTGTCCACTAAAATCTGATCCGACTTCTCGCTAGCCTGTGTTCCAGTCCACTACATCGACACTCAATGATATAGACTGGAGGAAGTCGTGTTATAATAAATACGAAATCTTTCAGGATTTCTTGTTGCAAATTTAAATTTTATTGTCCGAAACTATAATACACAAGTTGTAATTTTCCAAGCGCGCTCCCCTGCCACCCTACCCTAATGTCAAGATGTCAATACGCCAAATTAATCATAGTGAGCATACATCCCCGTTTACACTACGCTCAATTTTTGGTAAGGCACGGATAAAATTGGTACCCGTACCACTTTTTTGGTTCTTGGACTACCTATTTAGGTAGTCCAAGAACCAAAAAGTGGTACGGTACCAAAAATCGAGCGTAGTGTAAACGGGGCTTAGCTAAATAGGTAGTCCAAGAACCAAAAAAGTGGTGCGGGTACCACTTTATCCGTGCCGTACCAAAAATTGACCGTAGTGTAAACGGGGCTTACAAGTACAGGCGGGGAGAACATGGTTCCTATTCAAACTAACTGAATATGCATAAAGCCTGATCCTCACTAGACGCAAGCATAAGCACAAGCAGTGGAACCTTTGATGTGCATAAGCGTAAGCATAACAAGAACGCAATGTTTTGTTCTTCTTATTCTTATGCTTATGCACATCAAAGATTCAAAGGTTTCGCTTGCTTATACTATAGTGACGGGCAGAGGTACGGCTGATATCTCTTTCTCGTCCAGGGGACGTCCAGCGTCTATCCAGACGAGAGGGGAGATCCTCTTTAGAGGTCGATATGCATTTATCAACCTCATTAATTTATTAATGAGGTTGATATGAACATAAACAACCTGTTCAAGAGGTTGATATG